GGCTTGACTTGTCAGACATCCAGAGATAGAAAGAGCAAGTGAACTCAAGTCAACAAGTAGCCTGGACTCAAATGGGATGCAGAGATGGAGAGAGCCAGAAGAGTGGGTGGAGGGTCATTGCCTGAACTCCACCTGTCCCACTTAGATACCATTGGCCCAAGTTCAGCCACATGGCCACCCTTGGTTGCATGAGAGGCTTGGAAATGCAGCTTTTCCACAGGTGCCCATTTATACAGCCCCAAAATAGGAATGTTAAGTGAAAATGGATGATGGGGGTTGATAGCTAGGAATCCATGCTTCAAGCAGTGGCCATGGAACGTTGGACACTCGTTAGTGGAAATATTCAATTGATTATTTCCAAATAAGACTGTTTCAAATGACAAAGATTAAGAATGCAAAAAAAATCACCATCAGCAAAGGGATCAAGCAGTAAATTATTTAGTAGATATGGTTAATTTCATAGAACTAATAAGGTATGTTTAGATTTCCGGTTTGATCTATAAAAGAACCCAGTTATCACTTTCACTTACCGCAAGAAAAAAAGATGAACAGACTGAAATTCAACAATTCTTCTTAGAACCACGAGAGAACTGAAGTCACAGGGCAAACTGCCACCCCCAAAACTGGAGAAGCAGGAGGACACAGGAAAGCTGAGTCTGCCCTGGAGCAGCACTGGGGAGGAACATGAAATGATAACTGATGCTTGCTGGAGGCTCACAGTAAAAAAGAAAAAAAAATAACCATGAATCTAGAAATCTGTGTCTAGAGAAACTACCCTTTAAGAGGAGAAGTTAAATAAAGACTTTCTCAGACAAACAAAAAATGAGGATGTGTGTTGCTAGGACATCTGCCTTGAAAAAAAAAATGTCAAGAGAAATTCTTCAGACAGAAGGATAATGACATAAGTTAGAAATTCAGATCTACATAGAGGAAGAAGATTTCTCAAGGAAAAATAGAGGTAAGATAAAATTTTTATTTTTTCCCTGACTCTTAATAGGTAACAGTTGGTTCAAAATAGTAATAATAATAACAGTGATATATAACAGAAAATTAGAGCTTATGGATGATGAGATGAATACCAGCAATGTTACAGGGGTTGGAAAGGAGGCAAAGGAAGAACTAAGTGCTGGGCTATGTATAAGTCGATTTGATTTAGTTATAAAAGTCCACTGAAAACTGTTGTTAGGCAACCACTGTTTCATGTTTCATGTTTAATTCATCTTCATCTATCATCATACTCCTCAGAATTGGTGTACTTACTTCAAAACTGAGTAAAAGTTGACTTCCATGCAGATACATCTCTGATTCTGCTTTTCTGAAATCTAGACTCTGTCTCAACTTAATTTTTCAGAGACATTTTGGGCATTCATCGCTCAGAAAGGCAATTGTAAGCCAGGGTGGCGCACACCTGTAATCCCAGCAGCTAGGGAGGCTGAAGCAGGAGGATCGGGAGTTCTAAGCCAACCTCAGCATCTTAGTGAGGCCCTAAACAACTCAGTAATACCTGTCCCTAAATAAAATATATTTAAAAGGCCTGGGAATGTAGCTCAGTGGTTAAACACCCTGGGTTCAATCCCTGATTCCAAAAAAAAAAAAAAATTTTTTTTAAAGAAAGGCAATTGTAAGCACAAGGCTTAGTATAGGGACCCAGGGAAACCAAAGCTCAGCCTGGTGAGTGGAAACAGTAGAGTCTTTACCTCAGCCACAGAGCAAAGGCCATGCAACCAAAATGCCAGCAGGTGCTCTCCTCAGGTTCAATGTACCCAGGCAAGGGATCACAGGATGGTTAGAATGTTCCATCTACACTGGGGAGCATGTCTGGGATTCCCAATGATCCTTTCTAACCCTCTCCCCTCCTCCCACTGAAAGCAGCCATCCTTTATGCTCCACTGAAGCATCATTGAACAACTTCACCAGGACATCCTCTTGCCAAATCCTCTGGCTCTTTCTAATGCTATTGACAGCTCAGTCCTGACAAGCCTCTCTTCCTACTCCATCCTGGGCTGGTCCCAGGGGATCTCTGGTAGCTCCACCAGACAATTACTGTCAATCCACTTTCTCTTCCTGCACCCCTCTACATATCCACAGTCCTAGCACCTTGTGGCCAGCTATTCATTGTCACTTCACACTCTTGGTGATCCATATGGTTTTAGTCAGCTTTTTCGCTGAAAGACCTTACAAGAACAATTTTAAAGGAGTAAAATTTATTTGGGGGCTCACAGTTTCAGAAGTCTCAGTCCATAGATAGCCAGCTCCATTCCTTGGGGGCTCAAGAGGAGGATGGACATCATGGCGGAAGAGTGTGGTGGAAGAAAGTGGCTCAAGGCATCACACCAGGAAGCAGAGAGAGACTTCACTCACCAAATACAAAATATATATCCCAATGTCACACCCCCAATGACCCATTGGAGTCTTCCAGTCACACCCTACCTGCCTTCTGTTACCACTCAGTTAATCCTTGTCAGGGGATTAATTAACAGAATGGGTTAAGTCTCTCATAACCCAATCATTCCACCTCTATGCCTTCTCTCACTCATAAGCTTTCAGAGGAACGCCACATCCAAACCATAACACCACAGTTTCAGGACTATCTATATATGAGTTACTTATAATTTTTATCTCCAATCCAGATTTCTTACCTGAGTTTCAGAATTAGAAAGGCATCTTCCCCAGCAGGATAATCATGGGTATCACAGATCTATTGGGTCCATAATGAGACTTTCCTTTCCTCCTTTTTCAACACTGCAACGTCTCCTATTTTCTGGACTTTGAATAAGGGCTCCATCCTCTATGTAATTTTTTTTCTGTAGTGTTAATATTTTCCACATACAAATAACTCCAGCACAATAGGAAAACGGGCAAAATACATGAATAAGCAATTCAGATAAGTATCTAAAAACATTCATCATCCACAGTAATCATAAAATTGCCAATTAAAACTTTGAGATACTTTTCTTCCTTTTCAGGCTACAAAGATTACACAGCATGATCACGCTTCATATTTTAGGAAGGAAGCTCAAGGAAAAGGGTACTTTAAAAATTGGTTAGATCTTAATAAGTGCAACTTTCCCAAAGCATACTGAATGGAGACACATCAATGATTTCGTTTGCTGCATAACTTATAACCTGGTCATTTGACTCCCAGGAATGTTCCTTGTGTAAGTAATTATGAGTATGTACAAAGGTATATTTATAAGGACACTCATTATAGCATTATTTATAATGGCTAAGTGTTCTGAAGAAATGCCAATGTCTTAGAAAATAGATTGTTTTATTGAATTATGGTCCATGCAGAATTTGGCCTACTCTGCAGACTTTGCAGACTATTTACTGACATGGAATGGTAATTTTCATACAGAAAGAGGAAAATCCATTTTATGAAGCATTATCTCTACATTGGAATGCCCCTTTAGAAACACCCATATCATTAGAAGGACTTATACCAACCAAATAGTACATATTTCTTGGGGATGAGGATATGGAAAATTTCTATTTTCCACTTTGAGTATATCTATATTTTTCACATTAATGGCAACAAACACTTATGCATTATTTTTATAATCAGAAGAATCCAGTACAAATTATATCAAGAAAAGGGGGGAAACACCCTAGTCAAAATGCAACAATAGCTGCCAAGAATCAAGAGGGTCTGAACCAAGGGGAAGGGAGAGGGCAGCATTAGAAGATAGTTAGGAGAAGGGCCAGGGGCTGTTCCAGACTCCCTGAAAGGCCAACATCTACTCTCCCATTGTCAAAAATGTTTATGAATAGTGAGGAGGGTTGTAAGTTTGGGTTTAGGCTTAATTTAGAGTTTATTTCTTTTACAGAATGACAGAACGGAAAGGGGCAAAACAGACCACATTTTAGGCTATGGACTAGATCAGAAATGTAGACATCAGGATTTTGAAAATATCACACTTTTCTTCCAATATGTGTCTACATTAGAGCCCCATTTCTTTTTCCCCTTGCTTACTTCCCAAATGGAGAGTGCATGTAAAATTTTCTCGCCACCCTGAGTTTAGGCTGAACAAAATTATAAGTTAAGCTTTTCCCCAGTGAGACTCTGCTCAGGTCTCTTGGATGTAGGTGTAGCCTTGGGCACATAGACTGGAGCCCAATAAGCACTCTGGTAACAGAACTCTGTAGTTTGTAGTTTGTGGTGCAAATCAAGCTCCAAGCTGCCATTTACATCTAGCTTCAGGGGTTGGCGCATGTATAATTTGATTTAATCTCTCAAGGTTCATGGGGTCATTAACAGTTCCAGAGCAGAGAGGTAGTCTGAGTCAGCTCCCAGAGCAGTTGTACAAAGAAGGCGTCAGTTTGGTGGGTAGACCAGAAACCTGGCCTGGAGCCTTCTCTCCCACAGAGGGGTGTGTGTGTGCCACACTCCCTCCCATGGCTGCTTGGCAGGCACCAGTATATACAAAGTGGAAGACACATGTTTCAGGGACCAGGGTAGGGAAGGAGAGAATTCTCAGCAGGCCAGGAGCAGTCTACGTCAGGTGGAATTAAAGAGAGAGAAATTGAGGCCCATGGGTTCCAAGAAGCCTCACACATTTTCCATCAGGCCAGGGTTTTCAAAGGATTATGTTTTTTAAAAAAATTAACAGTGCAGTTTCAAGTGATTCCAGTTAGCAGGGTAGTATTTACTTTGTTCATTTCCTGCTACAACTTAAAGCAGAGTATTAAGCTCTTCCGATTTTGAAGTCAGGCAGCCTGGAAAAGATCTTTTAAATCCATGGGGTTAGAAAACAAAACAAACTATCAGGCCCAGGCAACAGGTAAAGAAACACATTGCTTGGGCAGTAAAATATTTGACTGAAAAGAGAATGACCTGAGTCACAGTTCTCAGAGAATCTTAGGAGCAAAAATATCACCTGAGAAGTACAATTTTGGAAGTTTACCAGTTACCAACATTGCTTGGTCAGCATCAAAACCAAGGGAAAAGGGAGCATTTTAGGAAAGAAATAAGTGTCTCTAACCCCGTGAGAGACTGAGGACCAGGAAGAAGATTCTGGCAGTTTACTCAGGGATCGTCAACCCCATAGTTTTCCTGGCACCCATGCTGCAGATTCATCACTAGCTGCAGTCCTGGGAGGAGTGCAGGGACCCAGGCAGGGTCAGAGGCAGGGGATACAGGATGACAGGGTGCAGCGGGAGTAGGCTGATATGAGGGGCTAGGGTTTGGGACCCTAAGTCCAGAAGTCACTGTGTTCCCTTTGCTGTGGTTGGAGCCCTAAGAAAGAGAAGAGAAAAGGAAGTAGATTCAGCTATTTGTTGAGAAAAGTGCCAAAGTCACTCTGGGAGGGAAGCTTGTGGGATGGGACACATTGCTGGGGGAACTTGGGGAAGACATACGCCAAGCAGTGTAAATGCCCTCTGTGGTGTCAAGAGCTGCAAGACCACTTGGCCAGGACCACTTCTGTCTCAATTGTGTTCTGTAGCCCCAGACTCCCTCTCCCATCTAGACCTTGAGCTCTCCATGGCTCCCTTCTCTGACTATCTAGTCTAAATGAGTCCCCACTACCTTCACCACTGTGCCTCGTGACCATAGTGTAATTCCCAAATCACTACCTCGAATTGTAATTTTTGTGTATTTCTTTCTTAGTTGTTATTTATAGCCCTATCTTCCCTTGTCCCCACGTAAGTTTCATTAAGCAAGAACCCTTTTGTCCAGGTAATCAGGGGTTGGGACCATAAGAGGCCAGATGTTTTTGTTTTGAGGCTCTGGGTTACCTCTGCCTTTGGAGCTGAGAGTGACCATACACACATCAACAATGAGCTTGTGTTTTGGAGGGTTAGAGCCAGCCAGCTTCAGGGCAAAAGACCTCTGGGCCACCTGCACAGAGTCCTGTTAGAATGCCAGCATCCTTGAGCTGACTTGCTCCTGGCTCTCATGACTTGTAGGTTAGACCCCCAGCATGGTCTGCCAGGGCTCTGCCCATGCGGGACTGGTCTCAGCTCTTTATTCTCCTCGCTCATAGATCACGTGCAATTCCATCTTCACAGCTCATCTTTCAGATCAGCAAATACCTTCAGCACTGGAGTCAAATCCCCTCTTTCCTGGCTCTTGTTTAGGAATCCCTGGTTATCTCGTTAGGCACTGGATATTTTTCAGAGGAATTCGAATATGTTGCCTCTGCTGTTTTCACAAGAATAGGTTAGAATTACAAGACTTCAAGACAGAAGCCGAAATCCTTGTCATTCTGTCTCTGTGTAATTTTAGTGTGTTTTCTAGAAGATTCCTTCAAATCAATTATATGCTGGAGTCTATTCTGTATTCATTTGGTTCCTTGAATTTTATAAGTTCTGGCTTATGTATTAAGTTGCCTAGAACTCTTTCTTACACTCTGATTATTCCTCCTTCCAGTCAAATCTGCCCTTTTCTTCATTCTGGTCAGTTTTGAGACTGGTTTTCCACTGGGCCCACAGATCATCTATAGGCAAAGAAGAAGCTATAAACACATGTGTTTTTGAGAAAAGCTAACACTAGGGCTTTGTGTGTGAAAGAAGGAAATGCTTCTGGATCATGAATGAGTCCATCAACTCTGCATTCTTTCTCTTTGGCCTAACTATTCAGTGGAATTCTAGGAGAAATAGTCATGGCTAGCAGGTATAAATGTTTATATCACACTTATTTACACAGCCTGCTGTAGTTGCAAAGTCCTCTTTGGAGCCATTCTTTTTTTAAATATATATATATATATATATCTTTGTTTTTATTTTTATGTGGTGCTCAGGATGGAACCCAATGTCTCACACATGCCAGACAAGCGCTCTACCACTGAGCTACAACCCCAGCCCCTTTGAAGTTATTCTTATCATGGATAGAGGGCTGTGTGCATGCTGAGAGGAGGTAGGAGATGGTTCACACTGGAGCTAAGTTCAGAACATTTAGATAGCTGTCTTGTTTGTCTACAGCTGCAAAACCCAGTAAGCAAACATCACATATTTCCTTCAAGCAGTTCCCACTGATAGCAAAAATATACATGCATCTGCTCAGGCTGAGTATTCTAAGTGCTAGAGTTTACTATTATGCTATAATTAGATGAAATGTGCCTGCACTGGGAGAAACCTAGGAGGATGTGGTAAAAATACAAACTAGCAATATTTTCAGCAGCTGGCAGTCCCTCTCCTCCAGGAGTAAACATGGCTCTAGGCAGAAGCACACCAAGTTCTGTGCAGAACTGTCTTGGTGGTATTGAGTTCACTCTGATATAAACAGAAGGGACCTCAATTATTATCTGAGGCTTTCTCAGGGAGTTCATCACTGTCAGTTTCTGTCTTTGATGGCGGGGATATTTCAGAGACATCTGCTCAGATATATCGCTCAGGGTCCTCAAATTACAAAGAAGTTCTATCCCCAAGCTAAGCCCTGAATGGTTTTGGTAATGACCTTACAAATGGTATTTCCACTCCCAGCTGACTCACCAAATACAAGTGAGGGCTAATCCTGTGTCTTTTAAAAATATCTTTAATAAATCTTTAATATGAATAAACAGAAGTTACTGCTGACTGAGTGACCACATGGGTTCGTTGCTTAATGCTAAACAACCTTCCAAGGCGGCATTGTGATCCCCAGTTGTAATAAGTAAACTGAGGTTCAGCAAGAGAAGCAGCTTCATCAACCCCCAATCAAGGCAAAAAGCTGGCAAAGCTTCTGAGGCTGGGTCAGCCAGACTAACAGGACAGGACACTCCATGTCATGCCACACTACTGGGCCTGAGCACAATATTCTGTAAATGTCACCAGCCCCAGGTTTTGAGGACAGAAGCTACATGGTTCAGAGAGGACAGAGGAACTGGGAAAGGATGCCCTTGTCTTTCCTTTATGCAATCTGAACTTGAGCAAATGCTCTTCTGCCCTCAGGGCACTTGCCTCTGTGGCGTGTCTGCGTTGCTATGGGGATACCCCAAAGCTGGGCTTCAGTTTCATTCTCCTGGACCCATCCTCCCCGCAGCAGCTGCTCCCTTATAGATGTGACTGGACCTTTCTAATGTGGTCACCTTCATGAAAGCTGGCAGTGCACCTGGTTGAAGGGGTAAATTTAGCCAGCATAAGGGGGACAGGAAAAGAAAGAGGTACCCCAAGGTTTTCTGTGGGTGCTTTTCTCCGAAACCACAGATCCCCTTGACATACTGCATTTATTCACCACAATGGCAAGACTGGAAGGGTTCAAGGCCCCACTCTTTAATTTGGGATAATGATCTGGAGACTGCCTGTGAATTAGCATAAAAGATAGGAGAGTGGCACCTTTCCATGCATGGACCAGTAGGACCAAATTGGGGGTAGCACTGATTTCTAACTCATCTAGTGAGATACTTTTGTAAAAAGAGATGCTGCAGTCTCCAAATCCAGTCATGTTATGCTGGTCTGATTAGGGATAGATGTTTCTCCTTCATCCTCAGTGGACCTCTTTGACCTCGAAGAACGTGACAGAGAACCCTGCTCTGTCATTGTTGTTCTCTATCGTAATTGCATGTTTCTCTTTTCAGCTGCTATGTTTGTGTTTTAGTAGGTACATCATGCTGTACTAGGACAGCTTACTTGTGTGACCACGTAATTTTGTCATTAATGAAAGAATGTGAGGTATTCAAAGTTGAAATATGAAAGCAACAACATAAAACTACAGGTTCACACATAGAATGTGGTAAGAAAAAAAAAGAAAAGAAAAAGAAAAAATTGCATCATTATACTTGTTAAGGTATGGGAAAAGCAGACTTTATTCAGGACCATCCTGATAGGCCCAGAGACCATTACCATGGATAGCAATGAGGGAGAGAGGCCAGGCTCAATTCTGAATACAGTGTGAGAAGAAGGGATTTGTAGTCAAAAATTAGAGTGGTGGTCAGTGGATTGAAAATTACTATGATCCAGGGTAAAGGGGATTCTAGCTAAATAGACCTAACAGGGTTCTTGGAGAAGACAGGCCAGGGTGATTAGATATCTCCTGGGGGATGGTGGAGGATGAGGAGCTTGATTAGATATTGAGGGGATCAGATATCCAGGATGGGGCAGCAGAAGGGGGATCAGTTCTCACTAAATGGACTTGGCAGGGCTCTTTGCCCAAACTGGACTTTATAAGGAAGTGCACAGATGGGCCTTCCAGAAGATTTAAAAGGCTGACTAAAGTTTGACCAAGCAAAGAATCTTTGTCTGGTGTTTATTCCTATGATTATTCAGAATTAATCTTTTGCATGTTACAATGCATAGCAAATATTAAGTCCACCTTGAACCAGGTCTTGGCTGAGTGAGTGCCACAAGTACGAAGTGGCTGAGATCCTCAGCAACAGTGGAGCCCCTTGATGACCAGAGTCCAGAGTCACTGTCAGGTGAGTACATTGGCTCAGAAATTTTCACCACCACACCACGGGCTGCCACTCAGCCTGGGCACATTGCTCCAGCACCATGAATCCCAAAGGCTTTTGATTATTCTAACAGATGCCCCTGTTTCCAATATTAGGTATTTGGTGAAGAGGATCTCAATTCAGTTTTTAAAAAGAACTATATTTTAAAATCAAAATAATAATTATATTGTAATGTAGAAAATGTCATTTTTTGGTTGACTTTGATGATTCAGAGTTTGAATAATTTTTTTTATTATTATTACAGATTCATAAAGGAGTATCTAATGAATATTAGTGAATTTAATCTAGGCATACTTCAGGGTTTTGCCCTGAGTCCTTTCTGGCTTTCTCCTTATACTTTTCTAAGCAGACACATCAGTTTTGGTGATTCCAGAACCATTCATATACTGAAGATGCTGGAATTTTTTACATTCAGTCCTGACTTGGCCTCTGAACGTCACACAGGAGACGACATCTGTACCTGAATGTCTTGTGGTTATCTCAAACCAGGCACATCGAAAATGGAGTCCTGACCTCCATCCATGTTAGCCCGCCACCTGCATTCCCCTAGCTATCCCTCACTTCCCCAACCTCTGCCCTGTAATTCTCATCCTCAGCCCTTATTTATCCCCTTTTTCATGCAACAACAAGTGCTGGCTCCTCAGATTCTTCTGGGTAAAACACGACAGGAGGTATGTTTCAGGTAGAGACTACGGCATGTACCAAAGCCCTGTAACAGTAAAAGAAGGCCTGTGGTGTATGGCGGAGAGTGAGAATGGGAAAGGAGATGGTGCTAGACCACACAGGTGCCTGGAAGACCACACTTGAATGAAATTCAGAGCAAGTCACAGAACCAGCCTTCCCTCTCTGGGAGGACCCAACCTGGACT